ATGACTACTTCAAGGAGATGGAGTTACTCTTGGTGAGATCTGGAATTAGGGAAGATGAAGAGTAAAAAATGGTAAGATTTTTGAATGGTCTCAATGAAGAAATTTCAGGTTTTGTTGAGATGTTTCCATATCATAATTTGCAAGACCTTGTTGATCAAGCTATGCGCACCGAGAGGAAAATTCAGCAAGAGGGACGAAGAATGTCTTATGGGAGCCAATCAATTTCAGCCCCATAGCGTCGGCAGCAGGCCGGTACCTCTGTTGGTGGGGGAAGATCACAAGGAGTTGCTACTAGGCCTTCTCCATCCATTGGTGCTACAAAGACAACGGTTTCTACTGCTTCTTCACCTGCAATTTAGCAAGAATAGCGACGTCCTGCTGCAAGCACAGCAACCCCTTCTGTTGCATCAGCTGCTGCTTCTTCTTCCCATACCCGAGGCATTGTTTGTCACAAGTGCCAAGGTCGAGGACATGTTGCTGCTCAATGTCCTAGTCGAAGGACCATGATTATAAATGAGCAAGGTGAATGGGAATCTGAAAGCGAACCTGAGGAAGAAGCTCCAATATATGATGAAGAAATTATGCAAGATAAAGGTGATGAAATTCAACCTGATGATGGAGACAAGAATTGCTTCATTTCTCACCGAGTGCTTAGTGTTACTGCTATCCAAGAAGAGAATAATTAGCGGCACAATCTTTTTCACACCCGGGGCATGATCAAGGACAAGTTGTGTCAAATCATTGTTGATAATGGCAGCTGCAATAATATTGCAAGTCGAGAATTAGTTGAAAGATTGGGACTGAAACAGCGGCGCCACCCTTCTCCATACAAGATGCAATGGTTAAATGATTGTGGTGCGCTACGTGTAACAAATATTGTGACCGTTCCCTTCTCTATTGGGCGGTACAATGACCATGTGGAGTGTGATGTGGTTCCAATGGAAGCATGCCAATTGCTGTTAGGAAGACCTTGGTTGTATGACCGAGATGCTCAGATTTGCAGTCACGCCAACAAGATTGTTCTCATGTACAAAGGAGAGCGCATCACTTTGCTTCCCTTGTCACCGAAGGAGATTGTGAGAGATGATCTGAAAAGAAAACAGTGAGCAAGCGAGAACCACTTACGAGTGACACACAAACATAGTGAAGGAGTATTTCCAAAGCCAAATAAAACTCCATAGCTACAAAGAACCGAGCCAAAGGGAAAAGAGGGTTTAGTGATGATGGCTAGGAAGGGGGATTTAAAAGAATTGAGTGAACCCAATGTTGTGTTCTATGTACTCATGTACAAGGACAATTTTCTTGTCACTAATGACTTACCCTCTACTTTCCCTAGTGCTGTTTTTGATGTGTTACAGGAATATGAAGATGTGTTTCCTGAGGAAGTACCACCAGGGCTGCCACCAAAGAGAGGGATTGAACATCAAATCGATCTTGTTCCTGGTGCTCCACTTCCTAACCGCGCACCATATCGCACCAATCCGGAGGAAACAAAAGAAATTCAGCGCTAAGTGCAGGAGCTCATCAACAAAGGTTATGTAAAGGAAAGTCTATCGCCTTGTGCTGTTCCTGTCCTTTTAGTTCTAAAAAAAGATGGCTCTTGGAGAATGTGTGTTGATTGCCGAGCCATTAATAACATCACCATAAGGTATAGACATCCCATACCTCGACTTGATGATATGCTTGATGAGCTTAGCGGTGCTATCATTTTCACCAAAATTGATTTGAGAAGTGGCTACCACCAAATCCGAATGAGAGAAGGAGATGAATGGAAAACAACCTTCAAAACCAAGTTTGGGCTGTATGAATGGTTGGTAATGCCATTTGGTTTGACCAATGCACCGAGCACCTTCATGAGATTGATGAATCATGTACTTAGAACTTTTATTGGCAAGTTTGTTGTTGTTTACTTTGATGATATCTTGATTTACAGCAAGTCTCTTGATGAACATATTGAACATATCCAATGTGTGCTTGTTGTTCTACGTAAACAGAAATTGTATGATAACCTTGAGAAGTGCACCTTTTGCACCAATAAGGTAGTCTTTCTTGGATTTGTTGTTACAGGACAAGGAGTGGAGGTACATGAAGAAAAGATCAAGGCTGTACGAGACTGGACGCCTCCACAGAATGTGAGCCAAGTTAGAAGCTTCCTTGGACTTGCTGGTTTCTATCAGCGGTTCGTGAAGGATTTCAGCACTATTGCTGCACCAATCAATGAGCTGACCAAGAAAGAAGTGTTTTTCAAGTGGGGAGAAGCACAACAGAAGGCATTTGAAGAATTGAAGATGAAGTTAACAACAGCCCCAGTCCTTGCCCTCCCAGATTTTGGTAAGACATTTGAAATAGAATGTGATGCAAGTGGAGTTGGGATTGGAGGTGTGCTCATGCAAGAACGAAGGCCAGTTGCATACTTCAGTGAAAAGCTAAGTGGTTCAACTCTAAATTATTCAGTTTATGATAAAGAATTATATGCTCTCGTTCAGAATTTGGAAACTTGGCAACATTACCTTTTTCCTAAAGAATTTGTGATACATTCAGATCATGAATCATTAAAACACCTTAAAGGACAACTAAAACTGAATAGAAGGCATGCAAAATGGTGTGAATTCATTGAGTCATTTCCCTATATTGTCAAGTACAAGAAAGGAAAAGAGAATGTTGTAGCAGATGCTTTGTCTCGACATCACACTTTGCTAACCCAACTTGACGCTAAGATTCTTGGCTTAGAAAGCATAAAAGATTTATATGCAACTGATTCATATTTTGCTGAACCATATTCCAAGTGTCGAGAAGGCAAAGCATGGGAAAAATTTCATGTGAATAATGGGTTTTTGTTTCGAGCTAACAAACTTTGTATTCTATATTGCTCTGTTCAAATTTTACTTGTGCCGGAAGCCCACGCAGGAGGACTCATGGGACATTTCGGTGCCAAGAAGACAGAACAAGTCCTTACCAATCACTTCTTTTGGCCCAAGATGAGAAGAGATGTGGAGAGACATGTTCTTCGCTGCGAATCATGCCACAAAGCTAAGTCCCGTGTGAATCCTCATGGATTATACACTCCTCTACCTATCCCTAGTGTGCTTTGGGAAGATATCTCTATGGATTTTGTTCTTGGTTTACCTCGAACCAAGCGGGGAAGGGATTCCATCTTTGTTATGGTTGATCGTTTTAGCAAAATGGCACATTTTATTCCATGCCACAAGAGCGATGATGCTTCACATATCGCTGAATTGTTTTTCAAAGAAATTATACGACTACATGGAATGCCACAAATCATTGTTTCTGATCGTGACACTAAATTTTTGAGTTATTTTTGGAAAACTTTGTGGGGCAAACTTGGAACATGATTGATGTTCTCTACGACGTGTCATCCACAAACGGATGGACAAACTAAAGTTGTGAACCGTACTCTATCAATGCTACTGCGAGCTATCCTCAAGAAGAACTTGAAACTTTGGGAAGAAAATTTGCCACGTGTCGAATTTGCATATAACAGGGCAGTACACTCGACCACTAAATTTTGTCCATTTGAAATTGTATATGGGTTTAAACCCACTACTCCCATAGATCTTTTGCCTCTACCTATGCAGGAACGTGTAAACTTCGATGCAAGTAAGCGAGCCGAGTTTGTCAAGAACCTTCATGATAGAGCTCGGACAAACATTGAAAAGATGACAAGGATGTATGAGAAGCACGTCAATAAAGGTCGAAGGAAGGTGTTATTTGAACCAGGAGACTTGGTTTGGGTGCATCTACGCAAAGACAGGTTTCCTGAACAACGCAAAAACAAGTTGCAAGCCCGAGTTGATGGCCCATTCAAAGTGCTACGCAAGATCAACGACAACGCTTATGAAATTGATCTACCTAGTACTTATGGTGTGAGTACCAGTTTTAATGTGGCCGACCTATCTCCATTCTTTGGATTGGAAGAGTCGAGGATGACTCTTTTTCAAGGAGGGAGGATGATGTGACCACGCCAGCGTCGGGGACCTCGGCGACCTCTCCGACCACCTCGGCGATCTCTCCGACCACTTCACCGACCTCGGTGACCTCTTCGACCACCTCGGCGATCTCTCCGACCACCTCGGCGATCTCTCCGACCACTTCACCGACCTCGGCAACCTCTCCGACCACCTCACCAGCTGATACACCACTCCAAGTCCTTACTGGACCAATCACCCGTAGCTGCGCCCAAAAGATACAGCAAGAGGTGCACGCGCTACTTTGTGAGTTTCAATTAAACATTGATGGTAATTTCGAGCTACCTAAGTCGTGCATGTTGTTATTACTCAAGTTCTCCGAGAAGGAAGACAAGGATACATCAAGGATGGATCAGAGAGAAGAGCTACGGTCGAGTCAACCCAGCATGACAGAACCATCCAGAAGAAACAGTCATATCTTTTGTCTCCCAAAGGCTATGAAGGTGAATGAGTACTTGTTGGAGAGATCTTGAAGCCTAGTTTCCAATGTTGTCATGCCGACCAGTTTGGAGTGTCCAGCGTGGCGTCCGACCAGTTTTAGTGAAGACTGCTCCGAAGCTCAATAGACTGCTCCCTCCGCGTGTTCACTTTATATATGATAATCAAAAGCACCCGCTCAATTAAATGTGTGATCATTTTGTTCCACAAGTTTAAAAGAACGATCCCGTCACTGCACAAGAAAATATTTATATCATCACACTGTGAAGAACTGTGTTCAAATGTATATTTGTTACAGCTAGGTAGCCTTCTTATTTTCTCTGAATTTACTCATTATTCCTCACCATGTGTATTTTCCATGAAGCAGCTTATGATTCAAGGCCCACAGAGAACTGTATGAGATCATGTGGAAACATGACAATTCCGTTCCCTTTTGGGATTGAACAAGGTTGTTTTGCAAACGATGACTTTTGACTCAACTGCACACCAAGTAATGTCACTGTTCTTGACCGAGGGTACGCACAATATCATGTGACTAATATATCACTTGATCATAGGTTTCTGGCTGTTAGCAACATGCTGAATGACACAACTTCCAACAACATAGAAAGGATAATCTACTCTAACTACCTAGGTCCTAACAATTTTATGGCAACTGCTGGAGAGTCTGTTACGGATGGTATTTTTGATTTCTCACAGGAAGAGGAAATAATAAAATGGGTAGTTGCAAACTTGACTTGTGAACAAGCTATGCAAAGAAATGCTAAATGTGCATGTGTTAGTCGCAACAGTTACTGCCAAAATGTCACACCAGGGAAAACACAGTATGGGTATCATTGCAAGTGTTCCAATGGCTTCCAAGGGAATCCGTACCTGCAAAATGGTTGTACAGGTTATACTTCTCTCTTAAACCATATTTCCATATTTTCTCATTTCTCATACATTCGTTTGTAAATAATAAAATACACACTGTGCATTGTGCTATCCGAAGTAATTTAAAATCCTCATGCATTTACTTTCAGCACCAATAGGTCTACACTATCACATATCATGTTAACTAGAGATAAATGCGTGCTTTTACCTGTAACACCATCAGATGACACAACTATTCGTATCGGTGTAGACATTGATGAGTGCTCAATTCCAAATAAATGCAATAGCAGAATGTGCCATAATTTTGAAGGAGGCTTCAATTGTACAAATTGTTCACGCGGGAAGGTCTATGATCCAGCAAAACAGAAATGTGTCATGTCAGCTAAGCTACATAACATAATTCTAGGTAAGCTGTTTTTATTGTTCATTGGACGACTTTGAATTAACAAAATATTCACGTCCACATTTAATGGATGTAGGTGTTGCCATTGGGATTGCTTGTGGCGTTGGCTCCATAAGTATTGCACTAGGCAGGATCCTACTGGCCCGTAAGTGGAAGAAAGGCATCCAAAGGAGAATCCGAAGAGCATACTTCAAGAAAAATCATGGTCTACTCTTGGAGCAACTAATATCAAATGAAAGCACTACAAGCAAAACCAAGATATTCTGCTTGGAGGAGCTAGAGGAGGCAACCAACAACTTTGATGCTACTTGTGTTCTTGGTTGTGGAGGACATGGCATGGTTTATAAAGGGATTCTATCAGACCAGCGTGTAGTGGCTATAAAGAAATCTAAAATAGTGGAGAAAGTAGAGATAGACTAGTTTATCAATGAGGTAGTTATTTTGTCCCAAATCATACACCGCAATGTGGTGAAACTTTTTGGTTGTTGCCTAGAAGATGAGGTGCCTTTGCTAGTCTATGAGTTCATATCAAATGGCACTCTATATGACCTTCTTCACACAAATGTTACAACAAAGTGCTTACTATCATGGGATGATCGTGTAAGGATAGCAATGGAAGTAGCAGGAGCACTTGCTTATCTACATTCAGCTGCCGCAATACCAATTTTTCATAGAGATGTAAAGTCTTCCAATATACTCTTGGATGAAAACTTCACCACAAAGGTTTCAGACTTTGGTGCTTCAAGGTCTCTTTCACTTGATGAGACACATGTGATGACAATTGTTCAAGGAACATTCGGCTACTTGGATCCTGAATATTATCATACCGGTCAACTAACTGAAAAGAGTGATGTATATAGTTTTGGAGTCATCCTTGTGGAACTTTTGACAAGAAAGAAGCCAATTTTCATCGATAATTTAGGCAAAAAACAAAGCTTGTCCCATTACTTTGTTCAATGACTTCATGAAAGGTCTCTTATGGAAATCATGGATCCACAGGTTGTTGAAGAGGCAGACCAGGAAGATATGAATGAAATCGCCTCCCTCGCAGAAGCATGCTTAAGGGTCAAAGGTGTAGAGCGGCCAACTATGAAAGAAGTAGACATGAGGTTACAATTCCTAAGAACAAATAGGCTGAGAAAAAAACATCGTTTACCTGAACAAGATGGAGATATTGAGGCTTTGTTATGCCTAGAAGCTAAGAACTTACACGAGCACGTTGATCTTGTCAATGCTGCTCACGTAACACCTCAAGGGACCACTAGGTTCTACAGCTTGGAGCAAGAAATTGAGTCTTCGGTTAGGTCACGCTAACTAAACTAACAGAGGGCTTGCTTAGATATTGGCTATAGAAATATACAATGTAATAATATTTCGGTAATCTGATGTGTATCCAATTAGGACTTGGAGTCCTAGGAATGTGTAACTCTTGTCACGAATTGAGAGTACCAAGCCTAATTGGCTATGCACCCATTCTCTATATAATGAAAGCCTCCAACACCCTCAATGGGTAGTCATTACAATAGCCTTTACATGGTATCCAGAAGGTCAATTTTGACGGGTGCTGTACTGGTTTGGCTGCTGCTCCATCAACTTGCTAAGGGACCTGCCAACTTTTATGGTGAAATTTCTCCGCTGCAACGTTACAGGAGCACACAATTAGTTATCTACTATACCTAAATAGGAGACCCCCAGTAGCAGATTAGGGCCATGACTGTGTGAGGACCATGCTTATCTCGCTTAGTGTGGCTGTTTTTTTTTCTTTCTAATCTCCTGTCACCGTTTTCTTTGGAAGAAGAGCAGACACAGGGGCCTGTTGCGGCGTGGGAAGAAAAACAGAGGCGATGCAGGGGGCTGTTGTGCGCCAGGAATTAAAACAGACGCTTACGGCAGATGACCAATTGCCTACCTTGACAAAAGATGGAGAGAAGCGGGCCCTAAATGACGTGGCTTCATGGAATCGCAGAGAAATCTGCTAATAGGGTCTCCTATTTATTTTTCTAATCTCCTGTCACCGTTTTCTTTGGAAGAAGAGCAGATACAGGGGCCTGTTGCGGCGTGGGAAGAAAAACAGACGCTATGCAAGGGGCTGTTGTGCGCCAGGAATTAAAACAGATGCTTACGGCAGATGACCTATCGCCTACCTTGACAAAAGATGGAGAGAAACGGGCCCTAGGTGACGCGGCTTCACGAATCGCAAAGAAATCTGCTAGTGGGGTCTCCTACTTAGGTATAGTAGATAGTAGATAAGCACGGTCCTCACATAGTCATGGCCCTAGTTATCACCCTCCACCAAGAAATATTGCCCCATTGTCTCCTATAACTGCAGATCGGTCTATTTATCATCGCAAGGCGGACAGAGCCCACTGGTGGCGTCTGAGCTTTGTCCATGCGCTTATGAATAGAGGTCGCCACATATTTATGGTCCCTAGGATACAGAGTTCGACAATCAACTCTATAATACACTTCAAGTCATAGATTAACCAAACTGTATACATATTTGACATATATTTAACGGCTGCAGTGACGGTGGTTACAGTGATTCACAGTGCCACCGCCATCGGCCTAGTGTGTGTGCAACTGGTCGGTAAGTCAGTCGGCATCGGGAGTGTTAGGGAACCGACCTTCGCACACCATTCCCTACCCTCGCATTTCTTTGTGTCTTAATGTTTTATGTGGGTCGCGGGAGCCTTGCAATGGCTAGGAACTTATCCCACACTAACGATGGCTTTCGAGTGGTGATGTCAAGGAGCGAGAGGTGTCGCGATACCTTGAAGCTCGCCGAAAGCGGGCTGGCGCATATTCTTGAGCATATTCATAGTGGATGGAATAGTCCTTTGAATGTACCAAATTGCCCTCTTGCCGGTGCTGGCTGGCAGTCGACACCAGCAGGGGATATTCATATTCATGTAAAATCGGGTTCGAGACTATCCAACTCCTATAGATAGAACTCAAAGAACACTCTACGATGATGATGATGATGAAAGCTTGATACAAGAGCCCATTGCTTTTTATCCCATATTGTTGAGAAATCGAAGGCCACACCCTTGGCCAAGCCCGGAGGTGTGACCTTGAACCCAAACACCAACAGGGAGGAAGAAGATGGCCTTCTTTCTCCTTAAATTTGAGAAAATTAAGAAAATAGTCATTGCGGTGTGCTATAGCAAGTAATCTGATTTCATAATGGTATCTAGCAAACTTGTGCTCGTCAGCTCAAAATTTGTCTTTTATAAATTGCCCGCCTGCACGTCACTGAGGGTATGGGAATGGGATGCCTCCCTGTTTCTGCGAACAGCGACCCTACGTTTCTGCAATGTTTTCTTTCATCCAAGGTCAAGGACCACCACCCTTATTTTTTTGAAGGAACTTAAAACATCAAGATAGTTTCCTAAAAAAAACTTAAAACATCAAGATAACAACACAATCAGAGAAATGAATGATGAATTTAACTGATTTCTATATCTGACTACGTTGCTCAGTAAACACAAATATACAGCTCAGCTCAGGAGATCACATGCATGATCGATGTTACGGACCAAATGGAACTGCCTCCGATCCATCAGAACAGCATGTCACAAAAGCAGAAAAACCAATCTCCAGTTCTCTCACGAGAGCAACAAAAGAAGCAGAGAAGGCAGTCCCAGGAAGAAGCTCCATTGCGAGGGCAGATGATGAGACCGGGCCATTCCCGCGCTAGCATCGCCCCCTGCTGTTGAGCCTCTGCTGCCGGGGGTGGGTGCCTTGGGTGGCGACGGCGGTGGCGGTGGTGGTATCACACAGGTGCCAAAGGTCGAATTCGCCTGCACATCATAGATAGGTCAGGGAGTTAGCATATGCATGGCATGCATCATGTTGCTGTTCAAAGAAAGAAATGCCACTAATTTAAACAGCGCTTACCTTGCAATATGCGATGTTGTCACATCCGCATACCATATGACCATTTGCAATATCTGTAGCTAAGGGAGCTCCTCCACCGTCACTCCTCTGCATGATTAAGATTCAAGAGAGTCAGAGACTTCATAACAAAGCAACTACAAGATCCTTGAAATGGCGAAATGGCTCAGGTAAAGGGATTCAATAGATATTCACATACCATGTAGAAATCAACAGCAATGTAGTTGGGCCACCGATTGCCTGAAGCATCATGGCACGTTTTGAGCATGCTAACGAGTGGCGCTGAATTATTTCCGCATACACCAGTCTGACTTGGGCTAGTCGTGAAGAAATTCATCAGAACAAGCGACTGGCTTTTCGAATCCATGGCTGGAGACTCTGCGCGGTTGGGGCATTTGCCTGCTACCATACCATCATTTCCATCTGTGTGTAAAAGCAAATCTGGTCAACAAAAGAGTCAAGGAAAAAAAAGGAAAACTCTGCAGGCCATTGAAACAGGGCATGTACTGAAACCTACATTGGTTTTCCACAACGTAGTTCCATTCATATGCGATCCCCTCGCTTGCTTCCTTGGATTTCTTTGATGTGAAGACTAGCAGGCGCTGGTTCTGGCTGATCATGTCCTTGAGCAGAGGCCAGTTGCCACCGCTCTTTGGCATTTTCGACACCGGAAACCAATACTTCATAAGGCCAGAAGCATTGAATACTTTCGGCAAGGACCCTGTTGCGGTGTAGTCTTCAAGAAAAATTGTGACTACTTCTGATGGGTTTGCATCAAGGAACGTCTGGATCTCTTTGAAGACATTGATGGCAGGTTGCTGAGAGAAAAGAAAGAAAAACAACTCAAGATTATACTTACAACACGAGTGTACTTATTTTCTTTTTCAGGACAGAAGAGAGAGAAGAATGTTTAGCTGACAATCTTACAAAGGCAGTGAAGTTGTAGCATTTTCCTCCAAATGAGTGGCACAGCCAGACATCGTTGTCAAAGTCATAAGTATCAAGCATCAAGCCCCTAACACCATTCTGCACATAATCAAGTACAAGTCCCATGGTTAGCATTTTATAAATAACAAATGGTTAGGCAAAACTCTGGCAGATCAGCACTAAATGATAAGGGTTAGCAGTGGTGAGAAACAAAACTCATCTGTTGACCACTAACTGAACATTTTTTTAGCAATTCCACCATTGGAATCTAGTTTGAGGTAAACTGTGTTCCTCAGTACAAACTAGAAAGGTACGAAATATAATCTTCAAAACAGGGGACATAAGTAACAGCCTACTAAGCTGAACAGCTTTGACTTAAGATTGCCTTCTTTGTTCCTTCCAGTTGAGGAACATAGGAAGTTGTATATGAGATATAATAGGGTCAGAAAGAATATTTTATTGTATCTTAATGACAAACTAGTTCTGAAACGTGAATGGCAGAACTAGCTAGAAAAGATCAGAGCCGTTCCAACTCCCAAGTCTTCAAGACCTAATCAAGTTGAGCCACGCAAGAACTCAAGTTCCAGATGACCATTTGAAACTAGAAGGAGCAGTATGACATGACATACGAGATAAGTGTGGTCCCTTCATTTTGTTAAGAAGAAAGCAAACGACGCCTACACAGCATAATGCCTGAACTGGACAAGATCTTTGTGAGGTCTGCTTAACAACTTGAAACAATAATCAAACCAGCAACTTATAAGTAGTCTAACTTTCTCTAAATACAACTAGTGCCACCCTGGTTTCATGAGTTAGGTACAGGCAACAGACAAACCATGTCCTAAGTTACATAAAGTTATACTGAAGATGTTAAGGTTAAGAAGCGGTGCCATTGGTAGCTTAAGGCATTTAGGCACATCTATTCTATATTGGTTGGGGCTTGAGCATGACTAAAATTTGTAAAGACATTAAGCATGTATTAAATTTTGTAATTTGTAAAATACATTAAGCATGTATTAAATTTTGTAATTTGTGAGACCAAGATAAAGTTAGATCCAGAGGCATTTGACAATTATTGTCCAATCATGACCAACAATTTAATAGGCTCAAAAGATTAAGTCAAGAATCTCTCCATGTGTTCAAAGATTTGATGTGATGAAATCTAAACCAGCAGGAAAGCAAGAACAAGCAAGCAGCTTCTTGAGCTTGCGTAGTGACCGGTGAGATTAACTATTGACTGTTGAGACCTATTATTGCCAGTGTCCGCGCATCAATGGCCAATTGGCCATAGAGATTGTTAAAAAGGAATAAGTACCAGCCCACATGGGCAAATGATTCATTCCTAAAATAATTCATAGTGCCATGGGCAGAGGTACAAACATATGAATGCAGATAAATAAAATATGCTAATCAGTTTGAATAAAGTAACTGGTAGAAAAGTTGGGCACATGCACATTATTGTACATTAACTGTTAATCTGCGCTAGATGGTCATTTTTTTTTCAGAGTGAAACTTTAGGTCTGGGTTGGTGGCACAAGTCCGTGGGTAAATAAAGGGCGAAGACAGCTAACATGATTCTTGCAGTGGAAAAGGGGGCTTGAGCATGTACTGTTCCACTTCCACTGTACTGAATTGAACCAAAGCATGGAATTACTTTGCGTATGTGGACTTTTGATGGTAATATTCCTCCGAAAGACAAATTAAAGGAAAAAGGCGCGGTGAAACCAATGTGCGTGTGTGTAAGTATTCTTTGCAGCTTTTGATTTTGGGTTGGAGTGGGAATGTCCATGTCGTGTTCCAGGAGCAGGTGCAGCTCACACACAGTCCAACTACTCATACTAGACATAGTAGCAGCCGGAAGCAGAGCAGAAAGGTCCAATTTTTCCTTGACTGTTAGGAAAAGGAGAGCCTGAATTCTGGAAGAGAAAGGTGCAGGCTTTCTTTATTTAATTATTTTGCTGGGTAAAATTTCACTAGATTTTGCACGAGATGTGTTGTAATAATGACAATAAAAGGCGATGATATCTATGTAGTGTGGCAATATCGACATCACATAATTAGTTACTGTACCAAGGAGTCCAAGGTGCTGTGGTGATGAGATTTGGGATCATCATGTGGTTGAGTAAGCAGATAGACAGACAGGCAGTCATGAACAGCACAAACTAAACTCAACTAGAGGGGATCAAAGGATGATGCTGAGATTGGATTGGAATAAATTAGTCCTGATGAATTCGGTGATGATGAGATAATGGCAGGCACGGTGTGTTCGTGTGTGTCTCTGCAACATATTGACAGTGCATTATTGTTCTTATATATATGCGCGACAGTAGTAGTAGTGAGTAAAGCAGACGCTAAGGTGGGCCCACCGGCCGACAGCGGCGGAAGGTGGACACGTGGGCATGGGAAGGTGGGGGCCAGCAAAGCAGCAACCACCCCAACTTCCATTGGTAGCGGCAGCGGCGCCGGCGTCGGAGGGGAAGGCGGATGCGGTTACCTGACCTCAGCACGGGAGGAGAGGGGAGAGGCAGGGCGGCGAAGGAAGAGGGAAATGGGAATGAGGAGGTGGTTGTTACCTTGAGCTGCGCGGTGACGGTGTCCTCCTGGTTGGTCTCGGTGATGAGTGGGTTGCCGGTGGCGGAGGCGGCGCCGGCGAGCGCGTAGGAGTTGTGGGTGGTGAGCCACGAGTAGTTGTTGAAGGGGAGGACCGTGCCGTGGGTGGCCGGGTCCACGGGGCTGGCGCGCGTGCAGATGCTGTCCCCGCCGGCACCGCAGGCGCTGCAGTGCATGCCGGAGCCGCAGCCGCCGCCGGAGGAGGAGCACGCGTCGCCCACCTGCGCCGCCGCAGCCGGGTGCGCCGCAAACAGCAAGAAGAAGAGCAGGGCCGCCGAGAAGAAGAGCAGCAGCCGTGGCCGGGGACGGGCGGGCGCCATTGATGGGATGGGCGCCGCGCGCGGTGAGCCGGCGACGAGTTGAGTTGGCAGTCAGTGGACGGCAACGGCAGCGAGGAGGTGGAGGACGCGCTCGTGGTGGTTGCCTGGACCTGGTTGGTTTGGTGAGGACACAGGACTCTCTCAGGGGCTGCGTCTCTGCCTGCAACTTTTTATTTGCAACAGCCAGCGGCAGAGCAGAGTCGGAATACGATCTCGTATCCGTGTGGTGTTGACCGACCAAGCCAACTTTTGGTCGGAATACGCCCCAATGCACTGCGATGCAAACAAGAGTATAGTGAATCCAAATTCGAGCAGATTAGAGGCGCTCCTCTAATTCGGAATCGGAATCGTAATCGTGCGCAAATGAAATCAAACAAAAAGTCACTCTCACCGTGTTTACTTTAAAAAAAAAAAACTCTGCTGGGACTACGCGTTGCTCGTACGCGGCAACACGTTAGGAGAGGTCCTGTACTTTTCAAAAAAAAAAGAGGCTGACCAAGCAAATGTGTGCAACAACGCGGAGCCGGAGGGCCGCACAGCACCTGTCAGCTGTCAGCGCTCACGATCCACCAATGCCAATCTATTGTCTTCTCTCTCGTTCAGATAATCAGATGTCATACGTACTACTACCAGATGGTTGACTGTTGCAAACCTGCCTCATTGTTTACAGAGAGACACAGCACAAACCCGGTCCGGGCGGGCATTATCTACCGGACTCTTCCATCTGCTTACCATTGCCAATTCAAATCACAACTCCAGTTTCTCCGTCTTCTCTTCTCTTCTCTTCTCTTGCTGCCTGTCATCATCAGCAAACGCCCACTGTCCGTGACCCCCGACAAATTCAATATACATACAGTATAGGCTACCAATTCAACATCTAGCTACAACATTTCACAGGTAACCGTCATCTAGAACAAACAATTCTAGACTAGGATTAGCACGCCCAAATTGGCTGCTTCCATACATACACACACAGTATCTATCTAGACTTCAATCAAAGCATATGTACCAGGGAAGCCACAGTCAAATATTACATACTGCAAGCATCCTGATGTGTTGCTCACATCAGGACTCCCTGATTGGCTGCCTGGCTCATGATGCATAATTTAGCTTGCCTTCAAATGAGCATCCTTTTTTCGTTTCAAACATGTACACCATGTTCTTACATAACCAGCACCCTCTCTCTACACATTGCAACTGAACCAAGCATTAACATCATGCATGATACACAACTCACAAGCGGAGGAATGCTTCAATGCAATTGGCAGGCAGCACAACCAACCCTGCGATACTGACAGTTTTTCTCCACCCATACCCAGAGAGCCAGAGACACCCCATCATCATCATAATTCAACTCATTCACATTGGCTTCCACACGCTGAGGACCTCCTGGAACATCTCGAGCATGAGCTCGCGGTCCGCGTGGTGGCTGAATTTTTTGTTTTTTTTAGCCTTTTTTTTGAAAAAAAATCACAAATATGCCTCTGGAGATATGCTTTCAAAATTTGGACCCTTAGCTCAGCGCCATTATTGATGGCGCCGAGCTTACATGTCTCAACGCCATAGATTTTGGCGTCAAAGTCTTGAGCTCGGCGCAGACGTAGCGGTGACTTGGCAGGCACCTTGACGCCGTAGATCTTGGCGCCGAGCTTAGTGCCGTGGTTATTGGCGTCCAGCTTGGCGCCGTGGTTATTGGCCGCGTCAAGATCTGTGGCGCCGAGGTGGTGTTTTAATCCAACGCCCAACCTTTCTGCCCAAGCCTTCTTCCTCTTCTTTCTCCTCCATCTCGGGTTTTTTCTCTTCTCACTTCGTCCTACCTCACGAATCGGCATATTGGACCTTTGAAACTTTGATTTGATCCGTAGATCTTCGAGAGCAAGGTATCCTCGCTCCCTCCTAGTTTTATTTCAAATCAATTCGGTATATATTAGTCGGATTTTTTAACTTAAGAATCATCATTACTTAGGGTTTCATGCAATTTTAATATTTATATTATACAACCGTAGGATGCCAAGGCATGAAAAAGCTACCAAACCAAGGTAACATCAGCGCACGTTGTTATGATATGGGTTAATTGCTTTCGATTCTTAGAATGAAAATGACTAAATTATAGTTATGACCGGATAACCAGAAATGTCTTCAACCCATTGCCTCTGCCTAGTGGTGTTTCAGTGCCCATGTGCTTTTGCGGTGATCTTGCAAGGTAGCCAAGTCCGATGAAGAGGACACGTATAGGCAGAGGTATTGGATGTGTTCTAATTTTGCGTTTGAGCCTACACTTCGTCAGCGCCGCATTAACAAGATGATGAGAAATTGATGTTTGTGTCATATGACATCTTGCATGATTTTTTTGTTTTGTAACAATTGCATTTTTACAAACCCCTCCACCGCTCTGTGATTTTGAGCAGTGGATCGACACTAAGATCAAGCCTGAAGATAAGGAATGGATGTAGAAACTATTACGGTGGGAGACAGAGGACAAGGAGATGATGGAGAAGAGACGCGAAGAGGAAGCTAAAAAAAGAAGCACAAGGAAGAGAAGGAAAGAAGGCGTGTTGCTGCATACAGGGAGGAGAGAGGGAAGAAGCTTGAGCGTGCACGCCAAGCGAAAGCAGCGATGGAGGAGAATCCCGATGCCCTGAGTAAGGAAAAATGGTCTTGTTGCACTTAGTAGTCTCCATTACTTGCTAGTTCTATGGTTTATTCATGAACAATGTTGTCTACTGTTGAACTTTTCATTGTGTTGTCATGTAATGCACTTTAAGTATGGACATGCTTAGGTCATGTACTGCGTTATTTAGTTTGTCGATGCATACTTTTAGGATTATTGTGTTGTTTAATGTGTCATAGTATTGGACTTTTCATTATATAGTTATTTTCATTATTTATGATTATAATATTCAGTTTAATATTGCGGACGTAGTGAAATGTGATCACATGTTGCAAACAAAACCTAACGAAGTAGTGCATTATATAATTTAACACACAAAACACATAAAATGGCATGTGAGAACATGTACCGAACTAGGGTATAGAGGTCCTGAACTAAACCTAACATGCCTTAGGTACTTGAAGCGAACAACAAGCACAAGAAATGACATGTGAGAACATGTACCCAACAAGGGTACATAGTTTCTTCGACTAAACCTAACATGCCTTAGGTAATTAAACCAAACAAACACATGGATGTACCATGTGAATAAGATAGGGTCGTCCTAGTAGTGTGGCCACATAGCAAATTGTGTTGCACCTTCTCTACAGTAGCCTCTCAATGTTGGTGGTGGTGGTGGCGGGGGTGACGGTGGAGGCCCCTTGTTCTTGTAATTAGGGCAGATGCAATATGGATCATTATAGAGTGCCTCCTGTGAACCTGCATCATTGTTGTCGTCGTCGTCTTCGTCTTTCTTGTACCCGCTATTAACTTCCCTTTGTAGATTGAAGATTTGGTCCTGCAGGTAGTAGATGTACTGCTGATGCGGATAAATTGGTCGAGGATCGACCCACCTAGTGAACCTACAGTTTTCTTCAGACTCGGAAGACTACAATAAGTATGTCCTGTGAGTTGTAAGGGTATTCGAGAAACATATTTAACAAACAAAATGTAATAGCAATTATCCATGCTCGCGGGCATTTGAAGAAGCGACGACCTTCGTCGATCCCCTCGGTGAACATCTGCACTAAGCAGTCATCACCATGCATGCATTTTGGCCAATATTCCTTCTTGTTATCATATCCTCTGAGAGGGTGAAAGCTCTAATTTGGTTTTGGTGAATTGATGAAATCCTAAGTGCTAACCTAGTTTATCAAAGTGATCATGAGATAGGTAGCACATTCCAAGTGGTGAAGCAAATGAAGATCATGACATGATGATGGTGATGCCATGGTGATGATCAAATGCTTGGACTTGAAAAGAAGAAAGAGAAAAACAAAAGGCTCAAGGCAAAGGTATAAGTGGTAGGAGCCATTTTGTTTCAGTGATCAAGACACTTAGCGAGTGTGATCACATTTAGGTTCGATAGCCATACTATTAAGAGTGGTGAAACTCGTATCGAAATGCGGTTATTAAAATGCCACTAGATGTTCTAACTCATTGCATATGCATTTAGGATCTAGTGGAGTGCTAACACCCTTGAAAATATTTGTGAAAATATGCTAAAACACATGCACAAAGGTGATACACATTGCGTTTAGCACTTGGGAGCAAGGGTAAGAAACTTCACTGGTGGAGTGTCCGCCCGTAGAGTGTGGATAGTCCGCCGGTGCCACCGGCGCACTGTATAGAAAAGACAGGGTTTCACAAAGTGCATCGGACGCTGGCCTCAACTAGACCGGTGCGTCCGGTCAATGGAAGCAGTGAAGACGCTGGTGTCGGTCTTCGACCGGATGTTGGGTCACTTCGTGACCGGACGCTGGCGGGGTACGTCTGGTCCTGCTGACGTAGCAGCGCATAGAGAGGACAGTGAGTAACCGGATGCTGGGTGAGTCCGGTCGGGCATGAGTGGAGGCTTACTGGAAGTGACCGGATGCTGGGGTCCTGCGTCCGATCGTGGCACTATGCTGCGTCCAGTCATCACTTGACCGTTAGGATCAGGCGCTTAGTATTTGAAGAGAGGGATGATGTGGCAGCCATCCATTGACCGGACGCTGGCAGGGTGGGTCCGGTAGATCTGACCGGAGCGTCTGGTCACCCCGAGCAGTGCCCAGTGAAGGTGTACAACGGCTCTATTTCGTGGGGACTTCTATTTAAGCCCCATGGCTGGCTCTAGCTCATTCTCTTAGCCATTTGTATTGACATAGCAACCTTGTGAGCTTACCCAAAGCCCTCCTACTCATCTCCATCATTGATTCATTATTTTTGTGAGATTAGGAGTGAATCCAAGTGTATTGCTTGAGTGTTTGCATCTAGAGGCATTTGGTGTTCATGTTTCGCTGTGGGATTCGCTTGTTACTCTTGGTTGTTGCCGCCACCTAGACGGCTTGGAGTAGCAAGGATCATTGAGCGGAGGTTGTTGATTGTCTCCGGCTCTGATCATGGTGATTGTGAGGGGTTCTTGACCTTTCCTCGGTGGAGAGCCAAAAGGTACTCTAGTAAATTGCTCGTGGCTTGTATGATCCTCATCTTGTGTTGGTTGTGCGGCACCCTATTGAGGGTTTGGCGTGTGATGCCAATTAGCGCGTGAACCTCCAAGTGAGTGAATCGCCACAATAAGGAGTAGCTTGCCAGCAAGCAAGTGAACCTCGGTAAAAAATCATTGTGTTCATCATTTAATTCTGATGTGATTGGTATTCATTGGTATTCATTTTTGTGATTGATTGATTCATTCCTCGACTCGATGGTATAACTATCTTGTTCTCTCTCTTTACATTACCGTAAACTAGTTGTCAAGCTCTTTACTATAGCTAGTCGTGAGAGCTTGTTAGTTTGATTAGTGTGGCTCTTTAGTTAGCTTTTGAGAGCACACTAACTTAGTGTAGTGACATAGCCGTTGTGTGAATAAAGACTATAGAAACTAGAATTGTGGTAGGTGGCTTGCATTTTAGTAGGCTAGCACAACACTCGCTTCGCCTCATATTTGTCTAATCGGTTTGTTAAGTGTTGTTGTATAAATTTTTAATAGGCTATTCACCCCTCCTCTAGCCATTAGGACCTTTCAGAGGGCACTCTTTAGTGAAATCACTCTTGCTCTCGGGGGGAAACTAATACATTGGTTCCTCAAAGAAATCAAGCCCAAGAGACCCCTTCCACACAATGGGAGTTCCCTTTGTCCCCCCCTTTCCTCTCCCACTCCCGAAACCCTTTCCTCTAGTTGACCCTCCAG